AATAAGATGACAATAATATGAATGTATATAATTTTAAGAGAAAGAACACTAATATGAAAATCCTTTCTTGAAATATGAAACAGGAACAAAGCTGCCATCAGTACGTGGCACATGACATTGACTAGACTGGGCAGCCCGTGTCATGGCGCCAGCACCTAGTCACAAGATGGAGAAAAGTCAAGAAAGCTCCGGAATGGATCATCATAAAAGATTGCAACCCAGATGTCAAAAGGCAAAACAAGAGAAATAATCAGAAAAACAGAAAGTATGAGTAAAATGACAAATGCAACGTGTTACAAATATATCAGTAAAGCTTTCAATTCCCCAATTGAAAGCAGAGGTTCTCAGACTGGATCTGAACATGCGGTTAATAATATGCCTTTTAGAAGGGAAACATTCTACACAGACTGGTTCAGTGGCTAAAAGTTGAGGCTGGTAGAGGAGCCAAGTCCGATTTAGCAGAAGCAGGGATCAGCCAGGGATACAAGCTGTGCTTGCATCTTCCTTTCTCATACTCAGACTTCCAAGTAAAGTGGAAAAAGTCTTTTTACAGGCCTCTGGGAGCACAAAAAAATAACTCCAAGTGACCTCTAACATTTCTGGGAGTCTCTGAAGAAACACAGTATAGGAGCAGCCCTGGAAGTGGGGCCGAAACTCCAAGGACATTCGACATGGCCTGGCCAGTGGCTCCTTGGCCCAGACCTGCCACCCACTCCCACTCGTGCCTGGTGGCAAGAGGAAGGGGCCAGGCCCTGGCTGGGAGGCAGGTGGGATGTGGGGATGGCAAGGGAGGCAGACCCAGAACAAGAGAAGTCCCCCAAGTTCCAGGCGGCAGCGGCCAGGGACAGTGTCCACAGGGATCACAGGGCACAGGCCTCATGTGCCACCCGGGAAGGGCAGTTCCTTGAGCTTGACCTGCGAGGACATGGCCACCCACCCATCACCATCACTGTGTCTCCACGCAGTGCAGGAGCATGCACCTGGTTGGGAGTGCCAGCCAGTGAATGAGAAAATGCTGTAAATAAACAAAATGTCCCCCGTGTATTCAGAGTTTTCAGCCATCTTCCCCCAAAAAGGTGCATGAAGAACCATTCAACCTTGGTGGCAACCCAGGAAATGCAAATTAGCACAATCCACACATATTAAATCAGTAATGAGGACACTCTTGGCTGGCAAAGGTTTTGAGAAACAAGAACATTATTAGTAAGTTATCACTGGCAGTGAGAAGTGACCCAGTAACCATTTTGGTAAAAACAGTTGGGCAAAATGTTTCCAGTCATGGGATTATTTACTTTCTAATGCAAAGATTCAGCTTTTTAAATCCTAACCTGGAAAAACCCCGAAATGTATGTATTAAAAAATTTGTGTATTTATTCTTACATGTTTAAATTTGTCACCTTCAAAATCCTCTCCATTTGTTGCAATACGTGTACCAAGACACTTTTTCCACTGCCCAAAACAGTTTTTGAACTCTTCAGTTTTGACGCCTTTTAGTGCCTCTGTCTTTTTCTGTTTTACCTTTTCCACATCAGCAAAACTTTTCCCTTTGAGGACTTTTATCATCCAGGGAAACAAAAAAAAAGTCACTCGGGTTAAGATCAGGTGAATAGGGAGAGTGAGGCATGGGGGTCGTGGCGTTTTTGGTCAAAAACTGTTGAACAGTCGGTGCAGGTGCACTCATAAATCACCCATCGTGAAATGGACAAACGTGTTGAAAGAATCTCCAAAAAAAAAAAAAAATCAGCCGGGCTCGGTGGCTCAGCCTGTAATCCCGCACCTTTGGGAGGCTGAGGTGAGTGGATGGCCTGAGCCCGTGGGTTCGAGACCCGCCTGGGCAGCGAGACCTCATCTCTACAATAAATCAAAAATCAGCCGGGCAGGGTAGCGCACGCCGTAATTCCTGCTACTCGGAAGGCTGAGGCGGAAGGATCGCCGGAGCCCAGCAGGTTGAGGCTGCAGTGACCGGGAGCGGCCACTGCACTCCAGTCTGGGTGACAGAGTGAGACTCCAACTCAAAAAAAAAAAAAAAAAAAAAATTTAGTGAAGCTGAACGCAACTTTTCACATCAATGCTGGCTGGTACACAGATGCTGTTAGGTTCCTAGAACAAGTACCTAGTAGGGGAAGCCTGTACTACAAGGTGTCTACCCTGCCAAAGATAATTAGGGTTTGTATTTTTAGTCCCCTTTGCATACGAAAAAATTAAGGGAAAAAACCCATAAGCACAAGACATCATATCTATCCATCTGTCATATGTTATAGATATATTAAAAGGCATACCTAAAGTGTAATCTATCTGATAGATGTATATAAATATATACACGAATATATGATACTTATAAGTGATATATAACATAGACACATAGATATAATCTAATTACAAAATGGTGCAAGGATTTTGGTAACATGATATGTAATTGAACATTTTCTAGATTGCAGCTGTAATTATGAACAATATATAGTTGTGTGGAAATGGTTTATGAGAGCACATTAAGCTTTTAGAAGCAGATGGCTGCACAACAGAGAGGATGTGGGACCGTGCAAATTATGCCTCCTGCGTGCAGGGATGGAGGAGCCCCGGGGGAGGGGAACGAATACTTGTGTGTGGGAGCCAGTGGGGGTGAGCTCTCTGCCTGACTCCTGTGAGGAGGCCGCAGTGTTTCCCAGGAAGTCAGTGGGGCAGCCATAGGAGCTGCACACACCCCTCTGCCCCCCATGCCTGCCATTCCATGCCTGCTGCTTGTACCCTCTCTCCTGGGACAGAGCCTCCTGAGGGAGCATCCCCATAGCAAGAATGCCCGGCTACGCAGTAGGTGCTCAATAAATGTCTGTTGAGTAAATCCCAGCCTGGGATTTTACTCAGTGCCTTAAGAGACTCACAGCCCTGCACACATTTCACTAGCAACAGATTTTAAAGACCGCACTTTCTTTTAAGGACATGAAGACTTTATTTCATAAAAATCACAACATATTTTCACTACGTAGTGGCATTCATCGTCTTTCTTGTATTATAAACTACTTCAAACACACGATTCCTTCCAATGTCTAATTTTGGCCACATTATGTCTAGATAATAAAAGACCGCAGGAGCCAACATCCATAGCCTATAAATAAAGTCGCTACTTTCACTCACGGGAAACAGGACGTTAGACAGGCTCTGTGCGCTGCCTCTCTTGATGTATTAGCTACACAGAGTGAATATGGTGACAGTTAAAACACAAGGAATTCCACCAGAAATAAGGACAGGTCCCTACTTGATTCGCCAGAAACTAAATGAGAAAGAACTCCAAGTGTAAATCCTAGGAATACAGTGTTCTCACTTCTAGTGCTTAGGGGCGGGACCAGGGCCTGCCACTGTGGACCACGGCTCTGACTTCTGGGACCCAGGGAGCCCTGAGCGGTGGCTATGCACACACGCAACACGGGACTCTCCCCAGAACAGCAGCCTCGGCCCACAGCAGCGGGGTTTGCCTAACACGGCACAGCCACGGGGGCTGCACACAGGGGATGTGGCCCCGTCACAGCGTGTCAGCCACTTGGAGCGCAGGGCCTTGCTGGGGTGGGGGGCAAGGACTGGCCCCGGCAGACCTGCTGGTCCTTGTCCAGTCCCACCTGGGAGAGGCCTGCCTGTGGCTGCTGCAGTCACGGTGACCAGGGGCAAGTGACATTAAGAAGCCACCAGGGGCGGATGGGGAAGGTCCCCAGAACTCCATGGAAAGCCTCCTCTGACACACGGCAACGTGGGGTGGGAGGGTTACATGAAATCTTGGTCACAGTTTTAAAGGCTTTCCAGTCTCAAGAACAGGTGTGAGCGTCTCGCCACACACTTCACAGCATGGCGGTGCTGCTGTCACAGGACACGATCTCACAGCCTGTCTCCAAGTATCACGTCTAGGGCTCAAGCCCACATTCCACAGGACCGTGCCCACACGGAGCCGTCACGACCACCCACCTCCTCAGGGCTGAGTCCAGTTCGCAAGTGACCCCAGCACAGAAGACGAAGCAGCTGTCACGCTCCCTGCCCGGGTCAGCAGGCCTTGGTGGGGTTTGCCACGAGGAAGCAGGTGGCCTCAGCCACGCGTCTGCCTTGTGGTGACACAAAGTGGCGCACCACGCCACCCCTCGCTCGGTCTGCTCATCAGAAACACAGCGCAGCCTTTGTGTGTGACACTCTGGGGATGTGGCACCTCGGCAAACAGAGCCAGAGACAGGGCCACAGAACTGCAGAGAGGCAGACAGGCAGCTCTGGAGGCTGGTGAACAACAGAGAAGGCCGCGTGCCAGGAAGTGGGGCTAGCTTAAGGCTGACCTTGGGTCCAAAAAGTCAAAACTCACGAAGAACGGGCTGAGACGTGCTCCTAGGCGATGGTGCCATCAGGCAGTCTCAAAACAGCTTCGGCCCCTCCTGGCCCTTTGCAGACCGAGTGGCCACACCCACGGGGCGGCCAGTGACCTCAGCCCAGTGTCTGAGCTCCCTACGGCAGATCCCGGAGAGGATCATGCAACTCACATGTGGGGATCTAGAGAAAGGGCGCGTCTGGTGGCTGCTGGCTCTAGGGAGCAGGTCATCGGGTGAATTCAACAGGTTGGGAACCTCCTCCTCCTCTTCCCCACCCACCTCCATGTGCCTCTGCCTGACCGTCTGGGGGCTCATGGGGACCTGAACTGCCTCTCCAGTTCCGAGTCTCTGTCGAGGCACAGAGCCTAAGCTCCCCTCAGGGTGCTCGCGGCCTCGCTGGGTGGTGACAGGGGAGGGCTCGCGGCAGCACCGCAGCCGCGTGTGTCACGTGTCCCGGAGGCAGGCCCTCACCCACAGGCGGAGCGAGGCAGGAGGAGGCTGTGTGGCAGGCGGCTGGCTGAGCAGTGGCCTCCGTCACAGAGTCACAGGCAAAGATGGCTGTCCCGGGGCCACGACCCGTGTCCAGACAGCAGCGAGGAGAGGGTTCCAGGGCGGAGGCAGGGTGCTTGCTTGGTTCTGTGCGAAGTGGCCTCTCTGGTGGCGGGCTGGGTTGCCAGCAGCCCCAGCTCACACGGCCGACAGGTCCACGCGGTGGGCGGAGTGGCTGCTCCTGTCCCAGGGACCGAGCTTGGTGGAGGCCGGGCCTGGCAGGGCCCCATTCATCTGCAGACCACAGGGAAGGGCAGGTGAGGATCCTCCTCCTTAACCCAAACCCCACGCAAATGCTGAGTGCTGTGGGCCAGGAGTGACGTGAGGGTCCCACCTTGAGGGGGGACAGCACAAAAGTGGGGAGCCCACTCCCCAGAGGTAAGGGTGCTGCCCTTGGGGGTCTACACTGGTACTCCCTGCTCTGCCGGTTCCACAGCCTCCGTTTGGGTAAGCCATTCATTCATTCACCTGTCCACCCTCTCATGGACCATCTGCCCATTCACACATTCAACCGGTGCTTGTCCATTAAGCCCTCTGTGGGCCAGGAGCTGCGGGGCTGGGTTAGAGCAGTGGCTCCAGAGGGCCCATTTGGGGTGGGGGCAGCCAGCGGTCACTGCGTGAACAGATGGAACTGTAGGTGGGGGAGGAGCGAGGTGGGGGTGGGCGTGCCTTCCTCAAGTGCTGCCAGAGGACTTCCTGCAGGCCAGAGGCCTGAACAAGGATCTCCATGACAGGGCGAGGCAGCGGTGCCGTGAGGACATCTGTCCAGGCTGCCTGGGGGGCCCTGCTGGGGGGACAGAGGGACGGGCCCCCTCCCGTAGGAGGCAGGTGCATCCAGCCTGGCTGGAAGATGGGAGGCTGTGGAGACCCCTGGGAATGGAGATTCGACTCCTAGGCATCTTCAGGGGGAGGAGGCCCAGGCCAGCGGCTGCATCCCAGAGGCAGGGCTGTGCCTGGTGGCTTTTGTGTCTCTGTGGGACACGGCCAGCGTGTGCAGCATCTGCCTCCTGGTCAGTTGGTCAGCACAAGAAGTCCTGGCCCTGGGAAATGGGCGAAAGCGTGGGCTAGAGGGGCTGCAGGCTTCCCACGTAACAAGAGCCAGAGCCCTGAGGGGGAGGTTAGGAGGTGTGGTCTTCCCAACGGGGCCCAGCCAAGCAGAAAGCGGGACCTCAGAGGAGGCGTCGGCAACACTCACAATGTCCGAGTGGAAGGGCTTCACGTGGACGCTGCGGGCAGAGCTGCCCGTGAGGGACCAGACCTTGGTTTTGTGCTTGAAGGCGGCTCTCACCTGGGAGGCAGAGGACAGGCTCATGAGAAGCGATGTCCACAGTGACCCAGCCTCGAGCAGAGGCCACTGCAGGCAGCCTAGTACCAGAATGTGTGCTGATGTGGCCCATGACCCCGATGCCAGCAAAGGACGGGACTGGACATATCAGAGGCAACTGGACATCCCCGAGCTGGGCTACCCCCGCTGGTCCACTTGGCAGGCCCAGGCTGTGGCCCACCTGTACCAGGCCCCGCTGGGGAGTGAGGGCGGGTGTGGCCGGCCTCTTCAGGTTGCCTCACAGTGCTAGAGGGGACCACACACCACACTTGGCAAGGAACATCCTAGAAGCCGGTGTGTGATGACGGCTGCTGAGGTGACAGAGAAGCACATACACAGATGAGAGCCTGGGTGGGCCAGCATGGCCGAAGTCCCATCCCCTTCCTGTCAGGCCTTGTGAGGGCCAGTTCCTGGGCTTTGCCATCATGTGGCACTTCTGCTGCTGGTCACTGCCCTCCTTGGCAACCTGCTCTGCTCACCCACCCCACCTGGCCTGACCCTGCAGGTAGGTGTGCCTCCGCCCTGGGTCTGCTCACCCTCAGAGCCAGTGCTCCATGACCACAACCGGGCAGGGGCTCAAATGCCATGAGATAGGACGCCAAGCCCACAGTTCAAGGGTACAAGTCCTCCCACAGGGCTGGGGGCCTGAGGGCCAGGGCTGAGCACAGAAAGCCCCGCCCTCCCTGTAGTCAGGCGTACGGCAGGCAGGCACAACGCCCTGGACAGCACTGAGGAGAATGCGCCCACCTGCTCCCCCGAGCCCTTGGAGGCCACGTCACAAAAGTCCCCCTCCCTCCACTGGCTCCTACAGACAGAAGTCCTTGTCACAGCCTAGGCCAGCGTCTCCATGCCCATGGGAGGACTCATGGGAGCATGGCTACGTCTTCCTCTCCCTGGTACACCAGACGCCAGCTCGCTCTCGCCATCACCTCCCTCCTGCAGTGCCCATGTGGTATCGTGAGATGGTGCCTGCACGTCGCTTAGCAACCAAAACGGGAGAGGAGGGGCCGCGCACAGCAGGCCCACTGCCCACACTTGTCACCAGGATAGGCAGGTCAGGATCTCACTCCCAACCTCAGCCTGTTAGGCACCACGGCTCCTGCTCTCTGTACCCTTTCAAAATGAAAACCAGCTTCACGCAGGCAGGAGGTAGACATACCTCTGAGTTCAGGAGACAGTGGAAGAGGAAGATGAAAAGTCCCTGGGAAGGAAGGGAGACACACGGGTTAGGGCCGTGAGCACTGGCACAAGAATTCTCTGAGGGGCCCTTCCCCACTCTGCTCCAGGGGGCACTGGCATGCTCACTGCTGGGGCTCACTGGGGCGCCGGATCCTGTGACCTGGAGCCCATGAGGCTGGGCAGTTTCCTGGACCTCGCCCTGCAGTCCAGCCTAGATGCAGGAGGTGCTGTTGTGACCAGCGCTCACAGGCGTTGATTTTCTTGGGCAAGGCTGATGGATGGATTTCCAGGAAGGCTCAGAGTGGGGCGGACCCGTGTCAGGACAGACCCTGGCTGATGCCTCTGAGCCATGGGACTATCCTCTGCAGACGGGGGTGACAGCATGAATGAGAACAAGCACAGGAGCGAGGCTGTCCCAAGCAGCTGAGGCAGTTGGACGTGTGAGGCCACAGCTCACGAGCTACCGTCTAGCCAGGAAGGTTCCAGTATCTCAGTGCAGCCCCAGGAGCTGGGTCCTGCTGTCACCCCATCCCAGGGAGGAGGGGACTGAGAGGACACAGGAGGGGACAGTGAGGACCTGGTGTGTGTAAGGGCCACAGTAGAATGGCTGGCGTGGTTCATGCCAACAGCAGGGGACGGTTTTACAGGGGGTTGCCACCAGGGAGATGCATCTCAGGTAGCATGGTGAGGGTTTTGTGGGCCGTGGATACTGAGGGTTCCCGTGCTTGCCTTCCTTGGGGGCCTGTGGACATCCCAAGGCTGGTTTCCAGGCTGACCCTCCACCCCCTTCCTTGAGGACAGAGCCTGGCTCCTCTTGGGAGTTGCCCACGGGCTAGCTGTCCTCCAGTCCAGGCCTGGACATGCCTCCACCGGCACTGGCTGGAAGTGCAGGCAGCCCTGCCACGACAGGGTCAGGTTCCGCAAGCCCTGAGTTCTGAGAGCCCCTGTGCTCTACGATGCCTCTGTCCTCAGGCCCAGGGGACACCCCATGCCACAGGCTGGTGGGGTGTGGGGGACAGAGTACGGGCCTCCCTCCTGCCCCTGTGCCACCCACTCCCTGCATAGCCACCCCTGCCAGTCCCAGTCCCAACTCACCTGCAGGGAGTTGAGGATTGCAAACATGTACTGGAAGACCACGGCACGGTCGTTGACGGCGAGCACACCGAACACCCACGAGGTGCCCAGGATGGGCAGCAGCACAGCCACGGCTTTGGCAGTCAACCTGGAAGACAGTCATGGGCACTGGGCAGCGGCAGGCAGGAGGGGCCGTGAGATGCCAGGCTCTGGGTGGAGCAGGCGTATCCCTTGCTGGGAGCAGGACCTGGGTCCTCCCGCAGGTGGCCTCGGGGGAGGCCTGTACCTGGTGCAGGTCTCTGTGTTTCCCCTGTTAAGTGGAGACATGTCACCACCACGGGCCCCTCACAAATGGTGAGCTTGGAGAGGAATGCAGACTGGTGAGGGTGGACCCCGGGTGGAGATGGGGCTGCATCTGAGCTGCTTGCAAAGACGAGGAGAAGGAGCCAGGCGGGGGTGAGGTCGGGGGACAGACGCAGTGGTGGGGGGTGGGGGGCTTCAGCAGCCAGACCCCAGGACTCCCGGAGCTGGGCGATGTCTGGAAGACGGTGATGGGGCCCCGGGACCTGGGCTGCCAGACACAGTCCATGAAAACTCGTGACTGAAATGCAAAGTTGTGGCCAGGGATACGTCTCACCACCCAAGTCCTGTGCCACCAGCACTCCAGTGACACTGACAGAGCTCTAGGAGGGCAGGACCAAAGAGCATCTTCATGGCCCTGGATTGGCCTGCTGAGCTGCACTGCTGGACACGACCGGTCCTCGCCGCCCGACACCCACCAGCAAGCACTGTTACCTGCTTAGAGCCCCACAGGCCCTCTTGACGCAGGAGAGGCAGGTTACATATTGATCCCATCTTACAGGTAAGGAGACTGAGCCCTCGCAGCTTCTAGGAGAAGCTACAGTCAGGGTTCCCCAATCTCTGGGTCACAGACCAGTACTGGTCTGTGGCCTGTTAGGAACCAGACTGCACAGCAGGAGGTGATTCTCACAGGAGCACACACCCTACTGTGAACCGCGCTCCTTATGAGACTCTAATGTTTGATGATCTCTGCGCTGTCCACCCCCCATCCCCACCCTTGCCCCAGATAAATTGTCTTCTACAAAACCGGTCCCTGATGCCAAAAAGGTTGGGGATCATTGGCTACGGTGACCAAAGGCTTCATCGGGGCAGAACCAGAGGGGACGCAGATGCCCCCTACTCGAGGAGCAGGAGTAAGCCTCTCCTGGCAGCTGCCACTGCCCTCAGAGTTCTTTCCTCCCTGCTGGGAGAGGACACCTGTGCCTTCTGTGCCTCGCTCAAAGCAGCCCTGGTGGCTTGGAGGCTGCTCTTTCCCCATTGGCTGCAGTCTCACAGCAACAACCAATCAGGTTGCCTTGCCATCCAACAATGGCCAAGGGGCACGTGACTTGGGCTGACCAGAGTGAGTGTCTGGGCGGACCTCACCTGGGCTCTTCCTGCTGCACCTGTGGGCTGCCCCCCACTCTTCTCCCCAGGCCTCTCCAGTCGCCCCAGTCATGGCTGTTCCCAGACAGGTCCTGTGGCTCTGCGGGTGCTTTGCAAGCTACTCTCAGTCTGCTGGGCAAGGGTTTCCGTTACAGCCAGAGGGAGTGAGGGCTATCTTCGTGGGGGCCAGAGAGCATGGTGTCCTCCCTGTGAAGGGTTGGGGGCTGCAGAAGGTGAGGTGCTGACCGCCTGGAACGCAGGACACGGGCTTTGCTCTGCTGCAGCCGGTCGGGGCACCGGAACCACACGCAGGCTGACCACTCACACAGCCACGGAAGGGCTGATGGAAGTGCACGTCCCAGGGCAGCAGGAGGACGGGGCCCAGGAGCCCATGGGAGGGAGACAGGGGCAGCCTCGGGACACCTGCAACATCAGCCTCCTAGGTGTGTCCTCAGATGAAAGTCCTGTGAGACCAAGGGCCCCTGAGCCCAGACGGAGCTGGCAGAGTCGAGCAGCATTCACTGAGTGAATGGGCCAGTGCCCAGATGTCCCCCAAAGGCGTTGATGGTGTGCCAGGCAAATCGTGGCATGCTAACTCAAGTGCAGGCTGTCCTGACTTCTGGAACAGCTGGGCTTTCTACGGCAGGATCCTTCTGCACTTGAGCTTTCGAGGGCAGTCTAGAGACTAATGGAGGCCCTACTGCCCAGGTCAGCAACCACCACATACCTCAGTTTACCTCTCATCACCCAGCCCTGTGACTGTCAGTCTGTTTCTCTCATTAGACTACAAGTTTCCTGAAAGCCAAGACTTTGTCTTTTTGTCTCTGGACCCCAAAGTGTAGCCCCGTGCCAGGACTCAGAGGCTCTCAGGAAGCGATCCTTGGATGGATGGATGGATGGATGGTGAACAAGTGGAGGAACATGCAAAAGCGCTGCCCTCAGAACTGGCATCTCCCAGGAGGAGGTGAGACGTGGCCATATTGAGCTTCCTTGTCTGAAGCCCGAGATCCTGGCATTGACAGCTCCTGGCAACGGGTCTCCTGTAAAACCCAGGACTGTTCCCACACTTCAGGTCTCAGGGAAACCGCAGCCAGCCCTTCTCATAACATTAATGCAATAAAAACAGAGCACCTGTTTCTGGGAAACAGAAATAGCTCGCATTATTCTGCTGTAATCTTTAGATCACAGGGAAACCATATTTGAAAGAATCAGTCACTGAGAAATAGGTACCAAGTGTGCTACCTTTAAAGTGATGATTTTTCTTAAAAACAAGCAATACCAGAAGATCTTGGGGAAACACGCTGCATTGTAGCTCTCTGAGGACTCTTGTCAGGACGGCCAGAGTTTTTTGTTGTTGTTGTTTTGGTTTTTTTTGAGTTGGAGTCTCACTCTGTCGCCCAGACTGGAGTGCAGCGGCCGCTCCCGGCCACCGCAGCCTCGACCTGCTGGGCTCCAGCGATCCTTCTGCCTCAGCCTTCCGAGTAGCCGGAATTACAGGCATGTGCTACCACGCCCAGCTGATTTTTTGATTTACTGTAGAGATGAGGTCTCGCCGCCCAGGTGGGTCTCGAACCCACGGGCTCAGGCAATCCACTCACCTCAGCCTCCCAAAGGTGCGGGATTACAGGCTGAGCCACCAAGCCCGGCTTGGACGGCCAGAGTTATCACTGTCCCCCTGGCCCTGGAGACCTGGGCAGGTGGGGGCGTGGCCCTCAAACACCACTCCCTGCCACTCCCCAAGGCCAGCCCTGGCATAGGGGCTCAGGCCCGCTGAGCCTTCACTGCCACATACACCTGTCATGGTGCTTCTCGAGGGCCTCACCGCCCTAGCCCAAGGGCCCCAGATCCATTTGTAAAGTCTGAGCGTTGTCTGCTCCTTTCCCTGTAGCATGGAGGCACAATCACTAACAGCGATTTCTTTTTAAACGTGAAAACCAGGCTTGTCCCCTCCTCAGGCCTCGCCTCCTCTGGCCTCCCCTTTCCAGAAGAGAGTGAGAGCAGGCCTGTCAGGCTGAGGAAGTACCTCGCCGTGTCATCCGCTGATGCCCAGCTGCTGGGCACCAAGAGCCACGAGATTAAAACCAAAGGCAGCTGGGCTTGGTGGCTCAGCCTGTAATCCTGTGCTTTGGGAGGCCGAAGTGAGTGAATTGCCTGAGCCCGTGGGTTCGAGACCCGCCTGGGCAACCTGGCGAGACCTC